CAAGGGTCTTGGTGTAATGAAAATCAACTTGATGTATAAAAAGTACTGCTTGATCATGAAAAAATGCAACTTGAAGTTTTGTCACGTTTGGGCTAGCATAAATTTACCAATCATCTCTTTTTCTTGCATAATGGTTTGACGAAGACAATGTAGTCATTGTGAGTGAGGTGAAACTTGGGGGGGGATAAGCTAAGTCACTAGCTAAATCACTTGCTAGTTTGCTCATATTTAGCTTTCCTATTAGTGAAACAATAAGTCACTAAATAAGTCAGTAATTTTAGTCTCTATCAGTTATTTTAAAGAATATTTAACATAACATCATCAGTTTATTAGCTGTCTCTTTTTCTGCTAAGAATATAACAAAATGCAAATAAGACCCATAGAAAGGTTGGTGTTTATTCATATATTAGTTGAGTCCAGTTGTTCTAGTTGTTCTAGACAGCTAGCATGTGCTACTTCAATATTTTCGTTTCTAAATTTTTATTTCAAGTGAATGATAATGTGTGTTTCTATCAAATAGATTACTCATTCTCAGTGCATCAAGAAGCACAAAAACACAACCTAAAGCTATCAATCCAGACAAATAAATATAGCATCTACTTGAGTACAACAAAATTAAAACTCCATATAGGATGTCATTGGAAATATTTATCTCCACTTACCAACTTCTCTATTGCTCAATTCAGTTGGACTGAGATTGAAAACATTTTCCTAAAACAATAAATGATGATTAATTTTGTAAAGAGTTGGGGGAGGGGAGGGAGGGGAATTTGGGTTTGAATTATTTAACATTATCTCAGCCTCAGGTTGTGGTGGTGATCCGTACTGTAATCCCACAGTAAGACAGCAATAATAGAAAGAAGCCCCTTTTTAAAACTGTTTAGCACTCCTTGCCACACCCTATTCTCATAGATAATCCCCTCCCCCCCCCCCCCCCCCCCCCCCCCCCCCCCCCCCCATGAGGGGCAGACTGGGTCACGGACCAAATGTTAATTCCTTGATATTGTAAAACCTAGTATTAAGGATATGGTGGTCCCCTCTCCTTAAATCTCAGCTGCAGCAACCCTGGTCCTAACACTGCTCTCAACCTCTTCTAACCTTCTGGAGTATCAGGCAACAAGCAATGTTTTCTAACTTTAGTCCCCCTAGACTGACGATCAGAGTATTTACACCAAGTGCAATCTCACTAATATACTTACCGTTTGTCCAGCGTCAGGGAGATAATATGTTTCCACATCAACGACAAACTTCTCAACAAACGGACAAGTGGTTCTCATCTTGGTGTATGGGTAAGCATTCCATGCTTCCTCTTCCACTCGCAGAGCAGATTTGGGTAAAATTGCTTTTAACCATCCTGGTAGATGGTTGCCAATGTGATATATCTTCTTGGTGTATTGTCCTCGTTCTCCTTCTTTGTTTCGGTACGGATGATTTTCAAGGATTTCTACACCACTTCCTTCACCAGTACTTTCTAATCGGCTCTTTTTCTAATAATCAAAATTAATAAATTGTCATTAATAACAATAACAATAACAATGATTGTGGTTTTGCATGATGATAATGGCAGTGGTGACAATAGAGAATAAAAGTTTAACTACTGTATGATATAGCCATGGAGGAATTCAAACTAGAGACTGAAGCCAGGGATATCTTTCTTTATCTACTGTATCTAACAGTAACCTATACACACTTATTATTATTATCTAGCAATATAGGGATCCTACAGCTAAACATTACTTAATGCTAAAAGCAACTTTCATTTCTTTAAATTTAAAAGACACTACAAAAAAGTTTCTATAACTATGCTCTTCTAAACTTAACATAAATGGAGAAAAATACATCAATAAAAAAATAAAAATAACATTATCAGTTATACCATGATTAAACTTCAAAATCAATTTGATGGGTAATTTTAAAGGACAACAATAAGCAATATGCACGAAACAGGTTTTTTAATGTAAATTCTTTTGTGATTGAGCTTTTATTTTAGTTGCTATGTGACTAGCTAAAATTATTGTTCAAAATTATTGATGGTTTTCATTTGGAATGGTGATCATTAATCAAATATTCCAGACAAGATATATATATTTAGTGTAAAAGTAAACAGTATTAAAATTAGAAAAATAATAATGACAAAAGGTAAAAAGAATATATATTTAAAAACAATTAAATCCAATGTGAAATAAATTTGATTTGGACCAAAAATTATAGCAGTGGAACTATGAAATAAAGAAATGAATCGTAACGAACGTGCGTACTATGTATACCTTAGATTATAAAAAATTAAAAACAGCTTATCGATCAAGGTTTTATTGTTTTCTTTTGGATTAACTAAGTTGATTGCTGTAAATCTATATATCTGAGTGACTGTGTAAACAAGTGTTCAAGCCTTTTGTTATGTGCAAATTAACTTTTTTGATTATTTCTGACAGATTATTGTAATTATCATACATGGCCAGCCACAAATTAGGATTTGGTCTCTTCAACAACTGAATAATATTGCACCTTATGTAGGTAGTTGTATGTTAATGTTTGTACATGTATTAACTGGCTATTTTCCACATTTCTTTATGAATTAAATAAAAAATTAAGCACAAATAAACAGAGTGATCTTTGCTTTCTTTCAGTTAGTTAATTGTTGACAAATAATAATAAAAATAATCACAACATGTGAGAAAATAAGTGCAGATTTTAAGTTACAAATCACACCAAGAAAATATTATTCACACCTGATTTCTATACAACCGAGAGATAGACCATTGTACCTTAAATTTGAATTTCAACATGCAGTATCTGCATACATCTAAATATAATTTAGGATTGAACAAAAGTGTTAGATTTTATCTAAAAAAATCAGATAATATCTGCAGACATCAAGAAAAATGACCACTCAGTAAAAGTATATACATCTCACAAAAAATCTTAAAACGCTATAATAATTTAGAACATTTCTGGAATATTAAATTTTATAAACAATTAATTGTATGAACATTTGACTTGAGAATTCCGATTCAAATCCTGCATAAAAACTAACATTAACTTGAAATTTTAGCAAATTGATCACTCCCTACCATAAACTATATATGAAAAGTTAAAATTCTATACAAACAGTAATACTTTATCTCCATAAATTATTAAATTACTCTCGCAGAATAATATAAAAACACTAAAAAATTTATAAATATTTTCCCTAGGAGTAAAAGCTAACATTTCTGAGGTCCAAAACTGCATAAGTAAATGTCGTTTTTTTTTGAAGTAAAGCCAAACAGACTTCAAAAACTTGGAGTATATTTAATAATTTTGTCAAAAGAAGAAAAAGAGATTTGGTTGTTTATGACATTTGTGAGGTACCTTATAAAATCTATGTAGTAATTTTTACCACCTGCCTGGAGAATACAGTCAAGCAAATTAAGCAAGACTCTAACCATACCAAAATATATTCCAATTTCATTGAATAAATTTTGGAAAAAATATAAGTACAATTTTTTTTGACGTTCAGCTTTATAAATTCATGTTTGGAAAATTACTTTATAAAATACACAGTACATCGAAAAATTTATGTGGGTAGGAATAAACTGTCGAATGATTACCATCACAGTGAGAATATAAACTTATTTGCCACAACAACGATAGAAAAAATAAATGTTTTCTACCCCGCGAAAGTTAAAGGTATATTTTCGCATGTTCAAAGTTCCATTTTGACAAGGTACATGTAAACAGGCTTATACACCAAGGAAGAAGAGTAAAATTTTTTCAATTCTCAATTTTCAAAGGAAAGATTAGTTAGCTGTAAGGCCAGGGAGAATTGTTTGTGATTAGGTGAGGGCTAGCTTTGGATTACATATTATTCATCGTACTTTGTCTCTCCAGTTGTCAAGGATGTCAGATCTTTTTTAGATAACCCAGGGAACTTGGCCGTAATATTCAACCGTCTACCGAAACCACACTTGATCGATCGCTCTATTATTCTTTATAACTCCAAAACCAAAGCAAACCAGAATAAATTCTGTTAAAATTTGACATCTCTGATTATTCTAAATCTAAAAGAATTAGAAATGTTCTCGATGGCAATGAGAGTTTGGTTGGCAACGGAGATATAATCGACAGTCTTGTATCTGTAAACCAAAAATCGTAGACCTAAAACACTTATTCATGAAGAGCAAACACGAATTCTCCGGTTTAAGAATATTTCGATGAAGAAAAGCAAAAGTTAAAGTAATAAAGTTAGGATATTAGTTAGCATAATATCTAAACGATGCCTATCAGTCAAGCGACCAAATGTTCATTCTTGGCTTTTTTTCCCACATTTCTGTCTTCACAAAAAGAGGACACACAACACCTTCGTATTTACAAGAATGAAGACAACTAAATTCCCCGAGAAGATCAATAATAAGAGTAGTGTTTCGAGTCAAACAGAGCACTGAATAAAGAAATCTCGAACGATGAAGGAGTATATATACCTGAATCATGTATAGTTGAGCGATACGGTACTCCTCAACGCTCATTGGCAAAGGAATTCTATACTCTTTGATGAGCATTTTGACCGATAGAATAGCCTTCTTTCGACCTGGACCAGAAGATCGGTAAGGACTACGTGAATGTCAAGTGTCATCCATAGGGTTGAGCAGAATGGAAGATCCGTACATAGTCGATCAGTAGAAAGGTAAACAGTTCTTTACTGTAACTGCTTGCTCCGCCGGCCGGAAGCCATTTTGAATGACGTCACGAAAAACAGCTGCCACTCGCCTCGTTATCAAGCCAAACCCACTGAAAAAATTGAAAAATGAGAACTGGAATGGAAAAAATGGAATCATAAGAGGATAGAACTCCGCGAAAATCCTTTGGAATATATCGTTAGAGTCCTTTAAAGTATTCAAAATAAATTATTGATGAATCAAATGCTGCAGTAGATGATGTTGATATGACCTGGTACTGGGGTCCTACACGAAAGCTTCGTTGTTTCTATAGACTAATAGCGGGAGAAGTGGGTTGTTTTATATTGTTGCTATCAACGTGGGCGGATAAGTCTTCTATTCTCAGCTTGACTGAACGTATTCTTTGGATTGTATTATTTTGTAAAATAAAGTCATTGCTGCGGTATTGGCGTAGCCCTCGACGTTCGGCATGGCACGACTTGACTACACTTTTATGATATCATCAATTCAAGTCAATCTTCCGTCAGCTTTCGTTCAATATTAAAGAAATGCCTCAAATGAATTGTATGTGATTTGCAGGAACAAGATGGCGTTAGTGATGCGTTTGACGTCATAACGTTATGGCTGTGCTCAGAAATAGGGCCATCTCGTTTGCTCTATACTTGTCCTTCACTCCATCCATTCCGTACGAGTCCAGACCTTGTGAATTTTACCTCGTAAATAGAGAAATACTCTGTTGGATACCAAATAAAAAGTCTTTTCAGCATCTGAAGTAATAAATCATCTCATTGTGGTATTTTTATGACGTCAATCCTACAATAAAGTCTAATGACCGATACTTGAAAGCTTAGGGAGAGGCCCGGTTATATAAAACAGTCGTCTCTTWAAAAAATCTCTTCTAGGCATTAGAGTCTTTCAATTTATAAGATAAAGCACTTACGTTGGTTCATCATGGCAACGTCTTGAAGAAAAGGCAAGAAATTAAATATTAAAATGAGAATAAAAGGGCAAACTTAGCTGAGAGAAAGCGACTGTCGGCGTCAAGTCTACTGAGCTGGGTCATGCTGTTACGCTTGAACGTCTCAATCTCTCGCCAATCTTCTTAAATTTCTGAATTTTTGATGATCCTAACCAGCTTAAAAAATAAAATACAAATCCTAATTGATTCAAATATAATATTTAACAAGTTATTTGTAGAATATTATTTGTTGGTGAAAAATACTCAGATATTTGGGTGCGTATTGTGTGATGACAATTAAGTAATCACGCGTTATCACGCTTGTCACGCGAACTGTCATTTTGAAATCCCATGATCCTATATAGTTAAGATGGCTGCAGCTTGGTTCATTTGTTTTGTTGTTTTTTGCCTTCATTTGATTCACTATGTTAGTGGATCTGCGAAAGGAGCTGTTGGATTAGATAGTCTGACTTTTGACAAGGTATGTTTTGCTGGGATTTTAGAAAGAAACTGAAATATATACTAATAACACTCTGAATACCACTCAACATGATAGCTTCCACGATTGCGCCGCCAGTACTATAGCTTATAAATTTAGCTTAATCAACTTYCAAGCTGTTAATCTTTACTGTATATTCTAGAAAATCTTGGAGAAGTTGAATGATAATGAAGATCAACAAGTTTATTATTGCTACCAAAATAGACACTTTGAAACAACTTCTAAATCATTATATGTCTTTTGTTGTGAAGCATGATCGTCCGGGTGAGTGTAGCCTTTAGAAAGACTGTTGGCGGTGGTGGTCTTTCACAAGACTACACTCACACCGACGATCACACTTTACAACAAACTTCAACCTGGTTTCAAACCACTTACTCTTATGATGTCTTTATCGATCTTCATCAAGGATTCATATCATGTAACCTCCGAGTTAACCTGAATATAAACTAGATTATTTTGATAGCATATCACTTTCATAAAGCCTTATGGACCAATCATTATTTTTCCTTTGGGGGTGGGGGATGTAGAGGGATCTATACTCTATAGACCCCTCCCCCCCAGATCGAGCTACTTTGATGGCACATGCAAGGGGTCTATTTCTAGGCAACTGCCATTAGCACATGTGTATCCAAAAATCCCCAGGAAATTGTGGGTAGGGCAACACCCACCATATGATACGACAAAATTTATGGACCCTTATGGACATTTATGTATTGGGGATATGTATCTACTCTAACAGTTTTTCTTCATTAATATAATGAATCTCCAGTCTCTAGATTTGTTTCTGCTTACACGAGGTGTAAGAGGGGCCAGGTAAATTGCTGGTAATAGTTACCAAGGGGACCAGAAAATCGTTTAAAATGTTACTAGCCAAGAAATCATGTTATATTCTTAATTTTTTCCTTGTGTAAAGATAACAGAGATATATAGGCCCTATTACCACAGGCTATGTTATAGATATATATTTACGGTTTACCAACATTGACGTCAGGTATCTTTTCTCATTTGAATTTGCCACTAGCATTAAAACAAAAGATCTCTTAGTTTCAGTAGCCAATAGAGGCTTTGCACCATGCATCATGTGACGGCAGCCATGTTAGATGGCAGAAACAATACGATCGTTTTACATGAGAAAGAACTCAACTCCCAACAGCAGAGGGATTTTATTGTTCTGCCATCTAACCACAGGCAGTCCAAGCAGTATTATGGTCACCGACACATGATGGTGCAATATCTCTATAGAGCTCTGGTTGGTACATTAATATCAATAGGTGACCTTAACGTAAACTTCACTATAAAAAAGCAATTTATTTAATGTGTTATTATTATTTTTGTAGGTTATAAGTAAACACAGGGCAGTCCTCGTAAAGTTTGACAAACAGTACGCTTATGGAGAGAAGGAGGACATCTTCAAAGAGTTTTGTAAGAAAGCATCATCTCAAAGTGAACTGTTAGTAGCTGAAGTGGGTGTTGCAGGTACTTGGATAAATATCAACTAACCATCCCCATAAAAAAGAGAATAATGTTGGAGTAAAGTAAAGTGGAAATCAAATGAAAATGTGAAAGAAAGAAGATTAAATGAAGGGTAGGGAAGGATTTGAGTAAAACAAACAAGCAAACAAAACCCAAGCAAAGAGAAACAAAAAGATGGGGGAAAGTCCTCGCCATGAACATGGACCACCCTAATTTAAGCCCTTCCTCCCCCCTGCCCAGCATACCCCATGGTCCCTGTGAATGTCCCTTGATGATTATGAATGGATGATGACAGTTGATGATGATGGTAATGAATAAATGATGACAGTTGATAGTGATGATAATGAATAAATGATGACAGTTGATGATGATGATAATAATGGTAATGAAAAAAATGATGATAGTTGATGATGATGATGATAATGATGATAATGAATAAATGATGACAGTTGATGATGGTAATGAATAAAGGACGACAGTTGATGATGATGATGATAATGATGGTAATGAATAAATGATGACAGTTGATGATGATGATGATAATGATGGTAATGAATAAATGATGACAGTTGATGATGGTAATGAATAAAGGACGACAGTTGATGATGATGATGATAATGATGGTAATGAATAAATGA